ACGCCCCCTATCGACATTATTTTATATCAAAATTAGTATATTTAGGAGTTGGCAGCGTTAACTCTGCCTGCCATGGGGCTAACCCGGACTGAGCGGAAGACATCTTTCCAGCAGACAGCTTGTTGAGCTTCTTTTTAAGCCTGGGGTAGAGAGAGGTACTTCGACTTTGCCGAGTGCACTGTCACTGTCATTCAAAGACTCCCCCACAATGTATTTTTAAAGACTGTTTAGTTTGAAGTGCCTTAATAATATACCCATTTACAGCCCTTAAAGGAGCATACAAATACAAATACTGTAATGGGGGCTCTCGTGGCCTAGAGGTTAATGTGTTGGCCTCTCATTCAAAGGTCCCGGGTTCGAATCCGGGTAGCGACCGAAAAATTTTCTTCTCTAAAATTGTCTCCTTTCACCTCTTTTCCTGCTCTCTAGCAATGTTCTGTTGTTTGCTTTCATTTCCACTTTCTGCCCCCACCCCCTCACCTCCTTTGCCCCCAATAAGGTCATATATAAGTGCCGAGGAATAAATGTGTTACCGGTACAAGAGAGTAACAAACACAAAAAAAGGAGGAAAGATAAGGACAAAGATGTTCATCGGAAATTTTTTAATTTTTGTTTTAGTAGAGGTTTTACGGCGCTCGAAACTGCATAAGGTCATATGAGCGCCCGATGATTAGAGGTGTTACAAGAGAGTAACAAACATATAAAAGAAGGAGGGGAGATAAGGACGATAGATGTTTGATAGAAAAGAAGAACCAACCACCTACTTTCATAGGAAAGAAGGAGCAAACCAAACAAGAGCACCCACCAACCACCCACATGACAACAGTCAGGACCAAGTGATTTGCTTTAGCTTGAACAAACAAGCACATGGACACAAGAACAAAATTTAGTTTTAGTTTTAGTAAGAGTTTTACTGCACTTGTTTCGTTTTAGTAATAGTTTTACGGCGCTCAGAACTGCACAAGAATATGAGCGCCAGAAGATTAGAGATGTTACAAGAGAGTAACAAACATAAAAAAGAAGAAGGGGTGATTAGGACGATACATGTAGACGTTTGATAGGAAAGAAGAAGCAAACCACACCAGAGCACTTTCAATACAATAAGTCCTATTATTATAGTAAGTGCCGAAGATTAGAGGTGTTACAAGAGAGTAACAAGGGGGCTCTCGTGGTCTAGAGGTTAAGGTGTTGGCCTCTCATTCAAAGGTCCCGGGTTCGAACCCGGGTAGCGACCGAAAAATTTTCTTCTCTTAAATTGTCTCCTTTCACCTCCTTTCCTGCTCTCTAGCAATGTTGTGTCGTCTGCTTTCGTCTCCTCTTTCTGCGCCCGCCTACTTTGCCCCCTCCTCTGGACTCCTGACTCTTTCTGCAGCCTTTCTACTGCTACTAATCGGACAAGGGCGAAAAATCTCAGAGGGCCCGTGTGCAAGTTGCGCATGTTAAAGATCCCTTGGTGGTCTAAAATCGCTAAGAGTAGGCTTCGGCCGCCACATGGGCAAAATTCAAAATATCCTACAAACTGAAAATATTAGGTGTGTCCCGTGGCGCGCTCATAAATATATGACCTTATGCAGTTACCAAAAAAGAAACACAAAAAAAAAGGAGGGGAGATAAGGACGATAGATGTTGGATAGGAAAGTAGGAGTGAGCAAACTACACAAAAGCACCCGCCAACCACCCACCGAAATTTAGAGCAGGGAAAATGCAATACAAAGACGAAAGAGGAACAATGTAGGGAAAGAACAGAAGTAGGACCTTACATCATAGCAGCCTTCTGCCACCAGCAAGATCAGGTGATTTTTAACTCCTCAGGAAACGGTAGGAACAGGCATGCACAGAAGTGTCCCATAAACATCAACTTGACTCACTTATCTAGACAGCCCAGTGAAATAAACTGACAAAGTAAAGTCATCAAAATATTATCTTAGGATACTTTACATTCTCAGGCGCCCCATTAGTTTGGTATCATCCTGGACTACAGAGTGGGTGGCCCTGGTTCGAATCCCAGACTGAGCATTCTTGAACTTAGATCGTTTTGTGAAGTTTTCAAGGCTTTCAACTTCAACCCATTGATTCGGTCCTAACAAGAGCTGGACATTGAATTTGCGGTGGTCCCATTCTGAAATAACTTACTAATAGTGTTCATAGGGGTGTTGAACCCACACACTCGGGCATTCTCCTGTTAATTCACTAAACCCCTAGGCCTACACTCCAGGTAGTCAGCTCTCCCTACAAATTTATTAAAACTTTTTGAAAAATTGAAAAAAATACTTAACTTTAACATATCCTACCCAAATTTGGTAAACATTTTATTCAAACCTTTATTTGTGTGTATTAAAACTTTGAAGGCAAAATATGTCATATTTTTATGCAATACTTCGTGGAAAAAGGTCTATATATACAGAGTCAAAACGTAAATAAAAAGCGAAAAAAAGGAAGCGTGTTCAAATTTCACACCTCCTCACAAGGTTCAAGAATTTGGCTTTCTTTGCTCTAAATTTGGGATTGCACTTCTGGTCATAGTTATGGTTTCAAACGAGTCATAGTTACTCTTCCAAATTAGGCTACAGTCTATTTCACACAAAAGCAGTGTTTTCGGTCATGAGAGCGAAATTTTCCATACCGCTACTGTCGGCGTTTGGGTTGGAGCGTTGCGCGCACATACCGATTATCAGCGTTAGGGCTGGACGAGTTAATGAAAAACCCATTACAGGAAAATTAATAATTCATCACAAAAGTTTAAATAGTTCTAGCTTTTGTAAGAGTTTGATGGCATTAGCAACAGAATAAGGTGATATAAGTAGTAGTAGCAGTAGAGGTTTTACGGTGCTCGCAACTGCATAAGGCCATATGAGCACCAGAAGAGGTGTTACAAGAGAGTAACAAACATAAAAAAGAAGGGGAGATAAGGAAGATAGATGTTAGATAGGTAAAAGAAGCAAACCACATCAGAGCATCCGCCAACCACCCACGGTGATATAAGTGCCTAAGGATAGATGTGTTACAAGAGAGTAATATTCACAAAAAAAGGAGAGAGAAGCACGATGGATGTTTGATAGGAAAGAAGGAGGAAACCACATCAGAGCACATGCCAACCACCCACTTCAACAAAAGAATAATGCAGCAATAAAATGTGATTAAAGATGAAGTTTATTGACGATCCATGCATACAGTTAAATGATTTCAGGACCTTTAAAAAAAAGAATGGCTGACCAAAATAAAAAGTATGGGTACATGAACATATCTCCTCGATGAACATGAGATGAAAGTGTTTAAATGCATGATACTTGGGGAGAAGTGGGAGAGGGGGATGTGTGGGGGGAGAGAAAACACAACAGAACAGAGACAATGAGTTCTACACATCCTCTATAAAAACACAAGCACTGTACAAAGCCCAACCCCCACGTTTATGAACTATTTTCCCAGCCATTAGGTACCCACCCCACAACACGGAGACAAAACCACCATCATCTTCTTCACCAAAACAATATTGAGAAAAAAACTTCATAAACAGGATATGTCTAAATATATTTGACTTGCACTCGATTCAGACCACAAAAAAAGGTTTTACACCCAAAAAAATATTTCAAAAATATTACAGGGAACTTAAAAACAAATAAACACAACCATAATATGATACAGATCATTGGAAGAATGCCAAAGCAATCGATGAACATAATGCAAGGAGGAAACAATTGTGCCACAATGCTGATCATCATCTACTTTACCCAAGGCAATCTCATTCCAAGAAAAACTTTCTTTTGAGATAGGTTTGCCTTGAAACAATAATAGCTGCTATTTTGGAAAGTCAAGGATTTGGGCATGAATGCAAGAGTATGCGACAAGAGCAGAAAAGAAGGAGAAAGAAAGAGAAAGACAGAGAAGGGGTGAGAGAGAGAGTGAGAGAGAGAGAGAGAGAGACAGAGACAGAGACAAAGAGAGAGAGAGACAGAGACAAAGAGAGAGAGGGAGAGAGAGAGAGAGAGAGAGAGAGAGAGAGAGAGAGAGAGAGAGAGAGAGACAGAGAGAGAGAGAGAGAGAGAGAGAGAGAGAGAGAGAGAGAGAGAATACTTTGTTATATTAGAATATCTGGTCCTTAATTATTAACATTACCACTCTGTCCATGCATTCAATACACGCTCATTCTAAGTATTTGCTGGGATAAAAAGTATTGGCAGTTAACCGTTCCAGTGCAGACATGTTAGAAAAATAGTTAGCCTTTGACATACTGGGTGTTGAAGAACATGTTCTTTATCGTACTTGTGTTTATAAATCTATTAAATCCTTTTAGTCAGGGTACAAGCATAGTAATTGTTTCTATACTTGATAATTAAAAATTTTTTTTTTAAAATACAATTCAGGGCAATCAGTAGCACTCTTCCCTTATAAAAACATCCAGGCGGAAATTGTATCCAACAACTCAATACAAACAAGGTTTTTTTTTTGTCCACAAAGCCAAAAAAGCTACCCCAACTCTACCACATGGAGTAAAGTGGGAAAATAAATGTCGCCTTTGGGGCTCCATTAGTAGTGATTTCATTAACTAAAAATCGAATCAAAATATATACAAACTTTCCATGATGGTGTTCTGCTTTTATAAAAATGGGAAAGGGGGAAAAAAAACGGACAAAAGTGATCAACTTTAGCAAAGAAGGGAAACGAATAAAAATGCATCGCATTAGTCTTGATAAATTTCCCCCTAAAACCAGGAGAGGAAAAAAATAATAATTCGAGAAGCTTTCCAACAGTCTTGTACAAAGACTGGGAGCTAAAAAATTTACAATCATCAAATCTCTCTCCAATCAAAAAAAAAAAAAAAGAAAAGAAATTAAATACATTGTCAAAACAAGCAATATGAACACTAACTTGCCCTCTTGTTCGTGGTTTTCTTCAACACCAACGTTCCGTTCCCCCTCAGCACTTGCACTCCACACAGGGTGCTCGAGAAATCAGCTGTCCAAAACTTGTTCACGAATGTGCTATGCCCGCCCACCACGACATTAAAAAAAACAACCACCATTCCCTGAAGCCATAAAATGTTCAGATCTCATTTCCCCCCCGCCCCCGCGTAGTCGGTCTCCGCACTAGACGTCGGTGTCGTACCACAGGTTGGGGTTGTCGCCACCAGGGGGTCCCAGGGCAGGGTCAATGTTGTCAAAGTTGATGTCCCCAGGACTGGCCAGGTCCGGCAGGTTGTCCATGGGGCCGTAACCGCTGCCGTGTTGGCTGCCGATGTCCAGACCTTGCATCGAGTCGATGGGAACTTGTTCATAACCTGGAAGGCAGATAGGTGTGCAATGTGTTGAGATTTCATGAACACTCATTAGAGACGAGAAGAAGAGGAGGAGGAGAAACGAAAAAAGAAAAGAAGAAGAAAACTGGTCGCTTTTAAGGACAAGCGGGTTCACCCAGATTTCAGGGGTTTCCGGAAATCTTGACCAACACCAAAAGTGGGCATTGCCCTACCTATAGAAGTTTAGTTCAATTGGTGTGTATATTTGTTTGCTTATAGAGAAAACTCCCCTTTTCTTTTAAGGAAACTGAACAAGGGGCAAAACTTTTACCTTCGATTTTCTCAAAACAAAATTTTTCAGGATAGCCCCCTTGTGCTTAAAAGCGACCAAATATGTAAACCATAGAGCTGCTTGTGTAGCTAATGGCAATTTTTTCATCATCAAACCTAGTCATCTCAAAGTACACTGAAGCACAGGGGGGAAAAAAGCACCAAATTAATCCAGAAATAGTAAATATACATTTGCCCGGAGAAACCGATCTGTCAGCTTTTGGGGTGGTTTTCCATGAACACACACAAATGGTAAACTCTCAAGCATGCTTTAGACCCTGACATATTCTAGTCATGTGGGTTTGTTATTGTCACTGTCTGGTTTCTGATATTTTTAAGTCACTTACATGGAAGTCAATATTCTATAAAAGATTACAAAATACCATAAAAACTCAAGATTTCTGATCCGTCACCAGGTTAAAAAGACATTATGCCAGAGATGCCAACCACAGAAAACCGAAATGAGTATTGGGAAATATGAAAATGTGTATTTTCTGGGGAAAATGTGTATTCTCCACGAACGACCGACCGACCAACTAGTAATAGTAAAATGTTAAGGGGGTCCAGCAATATTTGCTGAAAAATAATTACTAGCTCACCAGCTCGAAAAAGGGAGCTCACACGGTACAATATACAAGTATCCAGTCAACAACATGTCAGTGTTCAGTGTCGTACTGGGGTCTTGTTTGACTTAAATATTTCAGTCAATTATATACCGGTAATATTTTCCTCTCATTATTATGTAAAAAATAAATCCTGCTTTGAGAGTTCGGAAGGGCACAAAAATTTCGACTATCAAGAACCAGTCTGGGTGTCATGATTCATATTATGACCTGACAGACTCAAATCATTGCTCAAACTCAGAGAAAAGTAATAACTTGAATGGCTCAAGTAGCAGACCCATGCACTGTGAGAGTTGTAACAACTGTGGGAGGGCAAGATGCAGTGACACTGAAAATCTGCCAGTCTTGAACAGAAAGCTACAACATACACTGTAGGTATAATTTACTATCACCCATCCAATGAAACGCGAACACATTATTTCAATAAAACAGACTTGCAAAGTATGAGGGGTCCCGACTCCGCACACGGCCTGCACCAACGCGCGCTTTGCAGAAAGCTCTAATCCAAATTCTGAAAAGTGCTTCCAAGTTTTTGTCCTCTGGTGTTGCCTTCACACCATCCCCCATAGTATCTTAAACCCCAAAAAAATCAATAATCTGCTCCCCTATTCCGTAGTCCTATACTTTGCAAGGCCGTTACTCCCATCAAAGGCGGTCTTTGCTCACACGATGCCGCATTTATTTATGACGCGAATGCGTGCAGGTTCAGTGACCGGTCACGATGGCGAGGCAGACAATCTAAAAATCGGACGACGCTTTTCTTTTCTTTTTTTCCACAAGTGACAGCACAGAGGCGAGTCCGAGCATTGATTAAATTTTATTTGCACGGCGACATTGCATTTATACTGTACAACCTGCATGTCACAAATGTTGCGTTATCAGACAACTGCTGGCAAGCTACTCGGTGGTAACGAAAGCGAAAGTAGATCTTGATTTTCCCGATCGAGCCTCGGTGTCACATACGCTTCCGCCTGCCGCCATAGCTGCCTATTCGTGTGAAAGTGAAATGTACTCTCCGGACCGGGAAAAGCTGAACGAATATAATAATATATCCCGATTGCGACCGGCAAAAATGAACTTACTGACCACATTGGACTTGGTTTTCAAATATTTTAGTTCTGCGATACTGATACTATTTTGACAAAAGATGGGACTTGAGATAATTAGGTTTACTCACCCAAGCTGAATCTCGTATTTTTCGCATTCCAGGATGCGTATTTTTTCATGAAAAGTTGTATTCGCGTATTTTCGGCTAAAAATCGTACTAAAATACGTAAAATCGTACTGGTTGGCATCTCTGTTATGCTTTGAACAGGTCTTGGTGGCTCTTGTGCCCGCGAGGTTAAGGTGTTCGCCTTTCATTCAAAGGTCCCGAGTTCGAACCTGGGTAGCGACCGGAAAATTTTCTTCTCTAAAATTGTCTCCTTTCCCCTCCTTTTTTTACTCGCTATCAATGTTCTGTCATCTGCTTGTCGTCTGCTTTCATCTCCACTTTCTGCCCCAACCCCCTCACCTCTTTTGCCCCCTCCTCTGGGCCCCCTGACTCTCTGTAGCCTTTCTACAGCTACTCCTTGGCTACTTCTTACTACTGTCTTTCAGCCACACTCCTGATCTTCAGGTGGGAAAGATCTACACCTAGCCTTCTCGGACAAGGGCGAAAAATTTTGGAGGTCCTGTGTGCAAGTTGTGCACGTTAAAGATCCCTTGGTCCAAAACGATAAGAGCAGGCTTCGGCCGCCACCCGGGCAAAAATCAAAATTTCCTACCAACTGAAAAATGTTAAACGTGTCCCAGGCGCTCATATGACTTTATGCAGTTGGGAGCGCGATAAAACACTTACCCCCAAAAAAAAGAAAGAAAAGAAAAGAAAAGAAAAAGAACAGGTCTTTTTTCTTGAGGAAAAAAATGCCTGGTAACAAGCCAAATGATTTGCAAAAGAATGACTGCAAAGAAGTCCTCAAACCAAACATGGTCACTCTGTTAACAGCAGTAAAACTAAAGAGTATAGAATCTGCATGTTTTTTTGTTGTTTCTTTTCATTCTTCCCACCTTTTTAAATAACTAAAAACACAACTAAATCAAAACAAACAAAAAATCCGCCAGTCCTGCAAATATCAGTTTAAACAAATTTCCACTTCACTATACCTCAAACCTCATGACACATACAAAATATTCAAAGGGAGAGGCAAGGCAACGACAGCTCACCTGTTTTGGGGGGGTTTTTTCGCCAGAGTTTTACGACACTTGCAACACAATAAGGTCATATAAGTGCCGTGGATTAGAGGTATTACAAGAGAGTAACAAACACAAAAAAAGGAGGGGAGACAGTAGTTTCAGTTTTATTAAGTGTTTTACAGCATTTGCAACACAATAAGGTCATAGAAGTGCCAAAGATTAGACATGTTACAAGAGAGTAACAAACACAAAAAAAGAAGGAAGAGAGATAAGGATGATAGATATTTGATAGGAAAGAAGGAGCAGACCACACCAGAGCACCCACCAACCACCCACGACGGGAGATAAAGACGATAGATGTTTGATAGGAAAGAAGAAGGAAACCACACCAGAGCACCCACCAACCACCTACACAGCTCACCTGTGGGTCCCCGTCCCATGTCCGAGTGAGCCCCGCCATACATGCTGCCCTGAGAGCCTTGTGCGTTGTACATGGGATCGCGCGAGTCCTCCAGCGGCATGGTCATATCCTCAAACACCGGCGGCTGCAGAAACAGTTCCGGACATTGGTTCTTTAATGGGTATATTACGACTACGTTAGTAGTTTTTGTACAATGATGATCATGGGTAGATAAATTAAGTGACAGCAACACCAACAACCTTTTGTCCAACAAATGATTGCATTCTGACATCATCCATATTCCCAGTAATTCTAGTAGAAAAGTCACAAGAGCAAAACGCTGCATACAAAATATTCACTGCATCTACTTATAAACCATGCAGGCCAGCAAAATAATCTGTAGGTAATCACAGCTGCTACCTTAAACAACAGTGCCAAATTTTATGTTGTAGCACAAACACTGGCTATTCTTCAATCATTGAAGCAATAGTCGATAGTGAAGTTTTTCTAACACTTCAAGGACAATGCTTTAACTTGATGATACTGTCACTTAGACTTTCAAAAGCTAAAACGTGCAAAAACAAAAACCACTGCTGGAGACAGGCATAACCAGCCACATTTTCCCCAACACTGCGAATTAAAACAAAGGGGCATTATTTCTATTCCTAATTTTTACAGCACTTGCAACACGTATTACAAGGGAGTAACAAACATAAAAAAGAAGGAGGGGAGATAAAGAAAATAGATGTTTGATTGGAAAGAAGGAGCAAACCACACCAGAAAACCCTCCAACCACCCACTTGGGTATTTTTGTTTTCCTTTGCAAAGAAAACAATGAAAATCAAAAGAAAAACAATTGTTTTTGTTATTGCATCAATTAAAGGCAGTGGAAATGTTTCCCACTCTAGCACCATTAATTTGAATATTTTTAAGAACAGAGAAACACACCGACAAAACAAGTCATTAAAAGCACTGAAAAAGTATGACAAACTGACAGCAACGACAGAGACAGAAAAGAAGTAGGACCTAAAAGGTGACCACCAACTTCCCACCAAAATCAAATACTGTAAACTTATTGCAAAACGTGAAGTTTAATAGAATAGTAAGTGTTCTTTAGTATACTTACATCAGCCCAGTTGGGATCTCCTCGGTATAAAGAACTGGTCAGCTCCATGGAGAGACGCTTTTTGTAATCTTGTGGCTTGTCTTCCGACATTCGGAACAGAACAGCTGCTGCGTAGGTGGCTGCGGGAAAAAAGAGAAAAATTAAAGATTCATTTGCACACACACACACCCCTACCATAATTCCTTGACTGTCAAATGTCACCCGGACCCTATACAATACAGTCTTTGACAACAGTTTAACAATGAAAAAACAAATTTCATCACATTATCGACAACTAATGCACGATGCACCAGCATCTCAACCATAACAGGCCTATTCCCTACAATACACCCCACCACCACAAAAAAAAGTCCTTTTCCAAGACATATATGTGTAGATGTGTAGAGTTCTTCATGGCCTGCCTGGACAATACTCGGGACATTTATCAACCTCCCAGATATGAGTGGTCACAACAACACTACAAATATTCTCCCGGCACAACCCTTCCCCCTTGAATCCCATCACATGAACACCTCTGAATCATCCACACACAAAAAAAGGAAAAAAGAAAAAAAAACCCTGCCTTTTGATATCAACATTTTAAAAATACCATTGACAACAAACCATCTCCACGAGCCAATTAAAACATCAGGGCAAAGGCATCTTTTTTAGTGTTAGTAAGGTTTTACGGCACTCGCTACTGCATAAGGTCATATGAGCGCCAAGGGGTGGATGTCAACAGATAATTCAAAACGGGGAATCAGGCTTACTCTGCTCATCTCTCTAGCCTCAAGTCTGCTTCGACTATCCGACTATCAAGACACCCCAGAATTAGCAGTTCACAAGAGAGTGAGTACAAAAGAAGAAGAGGAAAAATGGCGATAGTAAAGATGAGGAAAGAAAAGGCAGCAGTTCCTCGTAGATTGTTCTGGCACAGTACGAGCACGACATTGATAAATCAGCCCATTTACAATTCTGCTGTGCATAAGAACATTTAAATATCCCTCCCCCCCCTTGGGAACTGACTTACCGACACCCTCATTGCGTGAGTGCAACAACTCGGTGAGGGGTGCAGTTGCTCCTTCCTGCTCGATCATTTCTGCGCCTTCCTTGTCCGCCGCGAGCTCACACAACACACCGGCAGCGACTCGCTGGATGTTCTCGATGGGGGAGTACAGGAGCTGTTTATCAGAGAGAGAAGAGAGATGTGTAAAATGTACACTTTCAGGGGCCCGGATGCTGGCAATTTTCATTCTCTACCTATTATACTAGCAAACTTTGCAATAAATCTCAGATTATCATGGCAACTTAAATTTCCAATTAAAAACTTCACATTCGAGAGACAAGACTCCTGAAAAATTCATTGGCACTGCAATTCATTACATTTGTCACAGACTTGTGAATCAACTGATCTCTGCATTTTTACCCTATACTTAATAAAAACAGACACTACAATAGGATGATCTACGGACTTGTTTCTCTTCTATATTTACAAATCGGCAAATCATAGCCCACTGTCTTAAGAATTAAACAGGCTTCAATTTTCAAGTTGCTTCCCACATCAGTCAAAGAACTTCACATATATCTGTTTGACAAACCTGAACGAAAAGTGGTATGCAGTTGAGACCCCTGATGACAGCTCTGTTGTGGGCCTCACGGGCCAAGATGTGAAGAGCTCCAACAGTTCCCTCGACAATCTCCTCCATGCGAACGCCATCCACATAGCCAGTCAGAGGGGGTCCGTTGGAGCTGATGGAAGCTCTCTTAAAACAGCAAACAAAACAATTATATACATTAATATCTCTTAACAGCAAATAAAGAACTTAAAAATAACAGACCAATGATTTTTCACACAAATGCATTTTATCACAACCAAGGTTTAATTCAATATATATGTTACACTCATTTCACAGGGTAAGGACACTATGCCTAAGAAATCATTGGCATCATTTTAGACAAAAACTCAAATCAATTCACAGCCAGTAAGACTTAAGGTAGAATGTAATGACATGAAATCTTCAAAGAAAGGCCATCAAACATTTCCAAAGACGCTCGCGTCAGGTCATTATATGAAATCACGCTTTGAAAACTAAAAAAACAAACCAAGAATTGTCCAAAGCTTTAATCAATACCAACACACATACACATCTTCCTCCGTTCCAGAGGATGAAGCACAAAAAATTTTACTCCCCCAAAAATCAACCCATTTTGACATAATAAAACACTCCAGACAAACTAGTGTAAGACGGCCACCCATGGTCAAGGAGAAAAGTGGCCGTATAAGACAGGTGGCCGTCTTAGGCAGGACTGATCAAGATGAAGAAAACAAACCCCATTCCCAATCGAAAGTAGCCGCATTATTGTTGTTTTTGTTGTTGGTGGTGGTGGTTTGTATTTTGTTTATTTTTATTTTGTCGCTGATTTTGTGCAAAGGTGACAATAAAACGAAATGTGTCAGACAAGGAGGACTGAGTGCTATGGTAAAACAAACATATGGGTCGCCACCACTCGAAGAACGAGCGACGCTTCAGTCACAAGTCCATGTTTACGTCCATTGTTAGTTTGTTACAGACTGGGTAAACAGTGACCACTCATCTCACTTACGATTTGTGTATGAGTTCTGGGCAGGGCTTATGGGTTATGAGGGATCATACACTTCCATCACATCACCAGCAGCTGGAAATTGGTACCTATTGGTCAACAGTGGGAGGGGCCTACGCAACCTGATCAGTTGGAGGGACTACCTAACAACAACGACAGGTGATTAGATTATGACGGCTCGCCCACAACGCCAGGGGTCAAAGCACAATTAATGACAAAACATAATGGAGTCACCAAGGTGGCCGTCTAAGACAGGTGTTATTGCTTAGTGTGATAGGGGTTGTGTGTTAAAACATGGTGGCCGCGGTCGCGTTGGACAGGTGCCCGTTTTACACAGTTAAATTATATCGAAAAAACGCAAGGGGGGAAATGGAAAGTGTCCTTTTGTACAGGTGGCCGTCTTATAGAGGTGGCCCTCAGGGCAGGTTCGACAGTGCTTAAAAATCAAATAAGGATAAAGTGTAGAGGGGCATTTACTTACTCTCTGTGTGTCTTGATGGGCTCTGATCAGCAGTTGCACGATTCTGGGCAGAGCGCCATGCTCACGGAGAGGGGCATGATTGGCTGGGCAGAGTGCCAAGTTCCTGAAAAACACAAATACATCGTTTATACTCAATTGTCTTGTATAGCACTAAGAAGAACAACAAATAAGTTATTTTGCTTTTGTTTTAGTAGTGGTTTTACGGCGCTCGCAGCTGCATAAGGTCATATGAGCGCCAGAAGATTAGGTGTTACAAGAGAGTAACATACATACAAAAGGAGAGGAGATAAGGACGATAGATGTCTGATAGGAAAGAAGAAGCAAACCACACCAGAGCACCCGCCAATCGCCCACAAATAAGTTATTTGTATTTGCATAATACTCAGGAGAGAAGCACTTTGAAACAGGTGTCGCTATAGAGGTTGCAGACAAGATCAACAAAAAAAATTTTTTAAGAAAGCAGGAATAAATGTACCTGTACACCTGCCAACCTTCAATACAATTTCTCCGAATTCTAAAAATTTTGTTTCAGGAAACAAAAAATATAGTTCACTTGGACTCCCAACAATTTACAAGTTTGTTTTTGTAAGTGTTTTACGGCGCTCGCAACTGCATACGGTCATATGAGCGTGCAGGACACATTAAACTTTTTCAGTTGGTAGGAAATTTTGAATTTTTGCCCAGGTGGCGGCCAAAGCCTACTCTTATCGATTTTAGACCACCAAGGGATCTTTGTTTTGTTTGTTTTTGTAAAGTGTTTTACGGCGCTCGCAACTGCATAAGGTCATGTGAGCGCGCGGGACACACCTAATATTTTCAGTTGGTGAGGAATTTTGAATTTTGCCCGGGTGGCGGCCGAAGCCTACTCTTATCGATTTTAGACCACCGAGGGATATTTAACGTGCGCAACTTGCACACGTGTCCTCCGAGATTTTTCGCCCTTGTCCGAGAAGGCTAGGTGTAGATCTTTCCTACCAGAAGATCAGGGGTGTGGCTGAAGGACAGCAGTAAGAAGAAGCCAAGGAGTAGCAGTAGAAAGGCTGTAGAAAGAATCAGGAGCCCAGAGGAGGTGGGGGGCAAAGGAGATGAGGGAGTGGGGGCAGAAAGAGGAGACGAAAGCAGACGACAGAACATTGCTAGAGAGCAGGAAAGGAGGTGAAAGGAGACAAATTTTAGAGAAGAAAATTTTTTCGGTCACTACCCGGATTCGAACCCGGGAACTTTGAATGAGAGGCCAACACCTTACCCTCAGGCCACGAGAGCCCCCACAATTTACTAGTGACGTTGTGCATGTCTAACCTGATGAGACCAACGACAGCTTTGATAAGAGGCCAGCGACTGGGAGGGTGCAGCAATTTCACCAACACAGGCAGACCATAGTGCAGACGGACAGCGTTCTGAGCCATTTCTGCTTCTGGGTGACGAGAGGTAAGGTGACGCAAGGCACAAACCTGCAAGACCAAAGGACCACATTAACAACTGGGAAATAACAAGTAAAACCCATATATACATTTAGTAAAACCTGATGTTTGGAGTCTCAAAGCAAGCAAAACCAAACAGTAAATATAGTTTTATTCATCGTGAGGAACATCACAAATTAAAGCAGAAATATGAATGTTCCTGAGTATTTTCAACCATGTAAGAAATTTCTGTTTACTCGTTACAGCACAGGGGAAATTAGGACCAAAAGGAAGTATTCCTATTATTACCTTTTCATCCAGTCAGTAAAGCCAAAGAAACAAGTTAGTTTCAGCAAGTGATTAAGTTTGCAGGACATTTTTCCCAATTCAATCCTTTCAGCACAATTAATATCGCACATACAAGCAATGAAATGTTTTTGACCGATGTGTGTATTAAATTTCCCAGACAAATAGAGCGTAGGATTTGCTAACACTGACACAGTATTTTGCAGGGTCTTATAAAACTAAAGGCCATTCAAATAAGCCCAAAAATGGACCCCCACCAAAAACATAGCGACAGGCATAATTTGTATAAAGATATGGGAGTTTTATTTCAATACGCACTATCTAAACACAACTAACAAGTTGTTTTTTTGTGTTAGTAAGTGCTTTACGGCACTTGCAACATAACAAGAATGCTGAAGATTAGAGGTGTTACAAGAGAGTAACAAACAAAAAAGGAGTGGAGATAAAGACGCAATAGACATGTGATAGGAAAGAAGAAGCAAACCACACCAGAGCACCCATCACTAACAACTTTTAAAGCAACACATTTTACTCACAGCAGGTTCTGTGATGTCCTCCCTGTCTCCGGCCTGCATGATGGTCCTGACCAGAGCCTCGATGCCGTTCACCTGGCACACCATCACCTTGTTGCGGTGGTTGTTGCAGGTCAAGTTGGACAAGATGCCAGCAGCACAAGTGACCACGTTGATGTCGTTGCTGGACAGCAGTTGCACCAACATTTGAAGGAGGTGGTCCAGTTGGTCCTACAACAAAAAAACAAAACAATAAGAAAAAGTTTTAGAAAAAAAAACGCCAACAAAACCCTATTCAAGAGGTCAGCTGGATATTAACCCTACATCAAAACATTTCGCAAGCCTACCCACCCATCCCCCCGACTCGTGGAACATAGAGTAATATGACAGGAATCTTTAACATTCAGATATGTAGCACTTTCCAAACACAAAAACCCTGCAAAGTTAAATATTCCCAAATTGTCAGACATCACACCCTGAAAGAAGAATGCCCACTTTTAGTTAAAAAAAGGAACACTACAGGAGAAAAATGAGACAACAAAAGACATTCGTTATCTTTTTAAACTAAAAGTCATTCACTTTCTACGCCAAACCACAGTCCAGCAACATTCACAAGTCTATTCAAGAGTCAAAACACAATAATAAGCCTGATCAAAAGCCCTGACATCATTTTTCACAACAGTACATTTGACACCACACCAGACTCATGGTCTGAATGGTTGTCACTAACAACACTCACCATCTTTGTAGCTGCGTCGGACAAGTTTCTCAAAGACCACAAGCAATTCTGCACAAGCCTCTGACTCTGGTGACCCAAATGCATTGCAAGAGCCTGCATGCCTCCTGAAAAGAAAAGAAAAAATTCGAGTACGTAAAATTTTCATTCTTCAAAGTATACCATTTAACAAGACACCATATTAAAAATTCACACAGAAAAAGCCATGTTTATAAACTAAGTGAAATTTCAGTAAAATTATAACAAAATACCAAATAGACAAAAAGCGAAAGACATCAGCAAGTCATTCTGCAAAACTTTAGATAGAATTCAAATACTGCAAACACCAGACACAACAGTTCTAGATTTCCTGGTTCCTCATCGTTACATTCAATCAGGCAAAAAAACAACAACAACCAAACTTACCAGCTTCAACAATAGCAGGCTTGTTACTGGAGCAGACAGAAAGGACTTTGAGAACACGGGAAGTAGTCCACAGGAGCTTTTCATAAGTGTAAGACTTCATGATGCGCACCAGCTCCCCAGGGCCTCCACTTGCCAGAATGATAAGCTAAAGAGTGAAAAAAAAAAGTCAATACATTGTCGAAATGGAGCCATTACAAATCATGTCTGAAATGAGAATGCAACAAGAACCCATACAATCAATCTGACACATACACATAACACGATAAGATCCCCCCCCCCCCCCCACGATTGCCAGATTACAATTGGTACATTTTAATCTTCATGTTCAAAATACGCCTGCATAGTTTGTTTAATCCTAACCTCACATAACATTTGCACAGCTTTCACTCTTTTTTTCTCTTTTTAAAAAAAAGTAAAAATGATGTGCCCGAGGAGAGAGAAACTCCTGAGACAGTATCTTTTATTCTACATTATGTCAATGTTACGAAGACTTCGTAATTCAAGACAAATCTTCACGACAACTAAACGGTCCAGGGTGACTGCCAACCCGTCTTCTCAATTTTCCGGGGGGTGGGGGGGGGAAGATCATCAATTTTCCAGGGGGCTCATCATTGTTACACAACAATGACAGTGCATGCTCCATTTATATAAACATACATGTTCTCTTTCACACACACACACACACACACGTAGGTACATTATATTGAGTCAACAATATGTCAGTGCGGCACTGGGGTCTTGTGTGAATTTCAGTCTGTTCTTACTTATTTATATTTTCCCCTCATCATATTTGCCTATGTAAAAATGAATCCTCTTTTGAGCCTGAGAAAGGGCCTAGAACCAGAATATCGACTGTCAAGATTCATCTAATAAACGTGAAAGACAAAAATTATTGATCAAACTCTAAGTAGAGTAAAAACTTGAAAGGCTCAAGTAGACAAACTCAGCGAGAGACTTAAAAAGAACTGTGGGAGGGCTAGACGCGGTGGCACTGAAAATCTGCGAATCTTGAACAAAAAGCTAAAATAAATTATCTACAATCATCCACCGAATGAAACGTGAACCTTTTAGTTCAAAAACACGGCTTACGAGGTAAGATGGATCCCGATTCCACATAAGGCCTGCCCCAACGCGCGCTTCGCACAGAGCTCTGTAGTATCGTAGGCTAATCAAAATTCTTTGCTTCCCCAAGTTAAGCTTTTGTCCTCTGGGGTTGCATTCAACCTCGCCCCTCTTCAACAAGTGTATCTTGAAAAAAATAATCAATACCCCCCCCCCTTTGGAGTTCTAAACTTCGCAGCACTTAGACTTTGAATGAACTTTGGTGACCCCAACAATCACCAGTAGACAATCTACTCACAATGTGATGCGAATGTACGCAGGTTCACTGACCGGTCACGATGGCGAGCCCGACAAGACGCATGTACAATTTTCTTTTCTGTTTTTCACAAGTGACAGCAGAGTACAAACATTGATTTCTTTTTCTAGCAAAACAGTGTTTATAATGTACAACCTGCATGTTACAAATGTTATGTTATCAAACTATTACCGGCATATTTCTGGGTGGCAATGAAAGCGAAAGTACATCTTAGTTCCCGATCGAGCCTTGGTATCATCACATGTACATTCCCGTCTGCCGCCATAGCCGCCTGTTCGCGTGAATAGTACTCTCAGGCCGGAAAAGCCTAACGAATATCACAATCGCAACCAGCAAAAATGAACAGACGTTCATCAGATTTGGTTTTAGGTATTTTCCGGGTCTTTCCCAGGGCAAATAACAGATTTCCTCAAATTCTTGGGTCTCAGCGATTTTTTTCAATTTCTCAGGGCCTGGTAGTTACCCTGTAAACCCTTCTCGACTCACCTTGCTCTCCTGGTTGCCGTAAGCCAGAATCTGCAGGCAGTCGGTGGTGATGGCCAGGAACTTGACATTGTTGTTGCGCTGCAGCAGAGCCACCATCTTCTGGAGACCCCCGGCCATTCGGACAGCCATCTTGGAGCCCTCTTGGTGCAGCAGCAGGTTGTGGAGGGTGGTGATGGCGTAGAACAGAACCGACTCCAGCGGGGAGCTACACAACAACAGACGGGAGGAAAAATATCACTCACTACAGGTCATTTACTTTAATTTTAATGAGACTTTTACGGCACTTGCAACACATTAAGGTCATATAAGTGCCGAAGATTAGAGGTGTTACAAGAGAGTAACAAACACAAAAAAAGAAGGAGGGGAGATACAGATGATAGATGTTTGATGGGAAAGAAGAAGCAAATCACACTAGAGCACCCGCCAACCACACACCTGCAAGTCATTCAAGGAAGTAAGTTTATTCAGTGTTCAAGGCCATAGGCCCACATCACATCATATAAAACACTCATTTCATAAATAGTCTCCAAAGTGAAAAGTACAGGTTGCGAACATATTTCTTTATCATGGTTCAGGTCATAAAAAAAATTTAAATACCAATGTTGCGTTATCAGCAAAAATACAGTATAAGCCAATCATAACAAATAAAACATGCTACCATGATTTCAATTTAACACTTTGCCATCACAAGGCTCATATAGTCAAAACCCTTCCCATCACAAGCGTTTAGGGGGAAACCCAAAGAAACTGGGTGGCAAACATCACAATGAGCGTTTTGTGACAGGAGCGGAATCAATTTTCAACAATAAAATGAAAATCAACACTATAAAATATTTCAAAATGTATAGTGCCCAATTTACACATTGGCACCACGTTATAATAGGAATGTTTAATGAAAGTCTGAAATACTAAATAATACAATGATCTGAACATCTTGAATATTGTATCTCCCATGACCCACAGGTTTCTCTCAAAGTGTGCAATAACCTCTCAATTCAACCCAAAAAAAATCCCCCCCCCCCCGGCAGCCTGAATTGTCTTTAGGCCATTCCCAAAAGGGGGATATAAACATGTTCTTATGTACATTAGAACTGTAAACGGGCTGATTAATCAATGTCCTACTCATACTGAGCCGGAAAAACATAGGGAGAACAGCTGCTTTTTCTTTTCTCACCCTTACTATCGTCATTTTCCTCTACCGTTACTTCTTTTGTATGTTTATCACTCGAAGCAGACTTTGTGCTGTAGAGGCTAGAGAAGTGAGCAGAGTAAGCCTAATCTCCCGTTTGGACTTCTCTGTTGACGTGCAACCCTTGACGTTCATGACCTTATGCAGTTGCGAACATCACCCACCTCAGCAATTTCACGAGAGCTGGGATCCCCCCAGACTTGAAGATAGCGAGCAGCCCCTGGCGGTGGTGGGACAGATTGTGAAGGGTTCCGGCTGCGCAGCGAGTCGTCTCAATGTCCTCCGTGTTGGCCATGGCCCGGATCAAGGCCGTGATCATCTGAGGGGAGTTCATGATGGCGTGCCGGCTGGCCTCCTTTTTGGACAGCTGGTGGACCATCATGGCCGCCTGGTACACCACGACCTGATCCTCGTCGTTCAGTAGTTTGATCAGTTCAGGGATAGCCCGGGTCGCCAGGTCAGCGTCATCCTGAACAAGTGGACAGAGATAACACGAGGAAATAAGTTGTTTGGGTTTTTTTTAGTTTAAGTAAGAGTTTTACCACATTTGCAACACAATAAGGTCATATGACAGCCGAAGATTAGAGGTGTTACAAAGAGAGTAACAAACAAAAAAGAATGAGGAGAGATCAGGACGATAGATGCTAGATAGGAAAGAAGTATCAAACCACACATGGATGAAAATAAGACAATAATAGAAAATACATCATCAAAATTTGAGGGACAGCAAGAACAGATATGCATGCTACTAAACTTAATAACTTATTTATTCTTACCAACTACAAAACTATGTGCATAGATAGTCCAACACATTCAAGATAAAGATATTTGAATAACGTCCGCATGCATGAAACTAGAATTATCTCAACAGTAAATGGAAAACTCAGTTCATTTTATTATCTAGCTTTTGATAAACACCGAAATATGACTGCCTAAACCCGTAATTATAATACTCACAACAAGTCGTTCCAAATATAGTAATTAACATAATACACAAACCAGTCCTAAACACTGACAATAATAGATTTCTTCTTACCTGATAGTTGATCAGATTGACCACCGCGTGCTTCAACATCTGCGAGGGTTCACTGAGTCGCTGCACTGCTGTGGGCTGGTCAGCCTGGATCTGGGTGGAGGGGATCTGCACACCTTCGGGCATTGTCTCAGGAAACATGGCTGCCCGCACACGCTGAGAGCGGGTCTGGTTCAACTGCTGGTTGATTTCTAAAAACAGAGAAAAGAAAAAAAAGAAAGACAACATTGGTCAAATTTCCCAGAAATGCAAGAAGCTGAAAACGCATCATATTATAAGCCTCAATAAGTTTCCTAAGAATCCTGAAAAATTTACTGAATGAAAAATGAACTGTATAACAGAAAATTATTTACAACCACTGTCACAGTAAACAAACAGCAAAGAATAGGATCATATCTGATAAGAAATCAATACAGATCTGAATGAATTTTACTTATTTCCATCAAACATCAGGTTCTAGGACAAAATAATATCAAAAGGCAGGTGGAAAAAGTCTGTAAAATCTAGTTTCGTAAAACATGTGACTTTCGTATCTTCACGGAATGTCTATGCAGCAGAAAAAAATATGCAGCCTTACCATCGACTTGCTCCTGATTGTAAGAATCTGCGCCTAAACCCCAGTCGAACATCATCTTTGATGGGTCCATCTCTCCTTCGTCGACCTCTTCTCCATGGCTCTTGCTGCTTATGGATGGAGCCTGTACAGAGCAAGCAAAAACCATACACAAATAAACTTACAAATCTGGCAGCCCAAAATGTACAAACTGAAAATCAAAGCACAAGACAAAGATGTAACTTTCAAACAAATCACCAAAAGCCAGGAAATCAACAGACTTAAAATCTTTCTTTAAAACCATGAAAATTCATATAAAAGCTAGACCATTAGGTATGAAGAAACCTTTGAAATTTCATCCCCTATCCCCCTTTACTACGGATCAAAAAAATTTTTTTTTTAATTAACAACTCAGTCAGTCATTTGAATCTGCAAATATATTGAAACGAGTTTCAGTAATAATTTTACTGCAATTACAACACAATAAGTCATATAAATGCCGAAAATTTAGAGGTGTTACAAGAAAGTAAAAAACACCCAAAAAAGGAGGCGAGTTAGGGACAATAGGTGTTTGATATGAAAGAAGAAGCAAACCACACCAGAGCACCCGCCAACCACCCGCGGATGCAATTTTGAACCCGTTCAGAGTAATATAAGGAAAAAACCAAAACACCCTTGGATTTGACAATACTCGCACAACATATTCTATGCACAGCATCAAAACACACTGAAACTACTACAACATCCCCATACACACAGATGACAAGGCACAACCACTTTTAGACCACACGGTGAAGTCAAAAACAGGGAGCGTACCTGTGTAGTCTGTCCAGAATGAATGCCCGAATCACTCATGTACTGATTCTGCTGCCACATCATTGTCTGTTGCTGTTTGTTGTCCACAGGCATGTTACTGAGGTCCATGTAGCTCGGCTCTCCAACCGTGCCCACTGAAGAGATGACATTGAAAAAAAAAACCCATAAAAATGAACGGGGGGCATTTCCCTTAAAAAACGTGTCCCTGACCCGTTGTACAAAAATGAAATGCAATGGACCTGTTTTCATTCATTATAATGAATTAAAAATAATGCTTCCACACAATGGTGAACTTATATCCAGAACTGTTTATGTAATTTCTTTAGGTTTTCCAGGCAGGCGAGAGGTGTCACAGGGCTATAATAACCCACTTGTAACCCAGAACAGATGCAAATATAAAGCATGAAACTGATTTAACAGCTTCCAGATCCAAATCACAAAACAAGTAAACAATAGGAGTGTACCTCCCCCCCCCCCCTCCCCCCAACCCCCAAGTCTAGGCATATAAAATTACAAAATTGGAGAAATAAGAACATTTCCAGAAAAGTTCCATCAGTGACTAGTTGAGAAAATCCAACTAGAAGATCATAAAGCGAGTCAAAATAAATCGTTAAAATATCACAATAAACAAAAACGATGTGTCAAAAACTTACTCGCACGATTGGGTCCACTGTTTGCATTCATCTGGTAACTACTCATTTTGATCGAATGCTACAGAAACTGGAGAAGAAGACAAAATATTCTTGTTCATTAATGTCATCAAGCAAAGAAAGTAACTATCATGCATGGGGATGAAAGTAAGTGTAATCCAATTCAGTTTTTGCTCCTAATTTTACTATATCAAATGCTGGGCACAAATGTACTTTTCTCTTTCCCCTTTGTAAAAATGTTTTCCTTCAGATTCAGGTGATAGCTGCTAGTTTAAAGTAAGCTTTAAAAAAAAAAAAGGTACAAACAGAAACAAGAAGCTGAATATAACGTAAGCAGTTTTAAATTCTACAGATTGCAAACGTGTGGTGGTGATAAAGATGAGAGTACCAAGATAATGAACAGAAAAAGCTCACTAATCTTGTTCCTGCATAGTTGTCTTTAGTGTTGAGGAATAAGGAAAACACAGGTTGACCGTTGTCGAACAAATAAGATCTAAGGTGGACAGACATAAACAATGTGTTATACAAAGAAAATAATCTTTACAACACCCCAGAAAGACCAGTCACACCCATTTAGTGACCAATGACCAACTATAACTGCCACCTTAGCTTATGTAATGGAACTGTCCTATACAAACAACACCTTCATAACAGCAAACATTTCTTCTAACAACACCCTTTGTACTTTGTTTCTATAAACTGTCTCACAAAAAAAACCAATAATGACACAGGCCTGTAATTTCTGAATTTCAGTATATGTACAGCCCGCCCCCTCCCCCCCCCTCTGTATAAATCTCCTCACAAGTGACATTACAACACGTTCTCATGCAAAAAGAAGCACTTCACAGAATTCAGGAGCTCAGTTCACAACCGACCACCTCTCGCCAAAAGCCACCTCGCTTTTAGACTCTCCACGCTAGTGGGGAAAAGTTTTGGCTACTGAGCTCAACATTACCACTCTGTGATTGAGCACAGGTTTAGAGTATTTAAAAGTAGACTTCCACCACAATGCGTTTTCCTTTTCCAAAATGTAACAACATCCCCACATCTTGCAATTAAGACTTGAGGGTAGTGTTTGAGCACGCATATATATATATATGTGTGTATGTACGGTGCCACTGTGAGGGGGGCGGGCGGGTGCACATTATCCCTTTTGGAAAATTTAGTTAAGCAGCAACTTCTGAATAAAGCAACCAAGGATTGTTTCCCAAAAACCAAGGGGTCAGCCTACTGCAACTCAAACTGTATCTTCATCACTAAATCTTAATCCATTCAAATTTAAACAGCCCCCCTCTTCTTGCCTCTATATTCAAAATTCCAACAAATTTCTTTTCAGTTATAGAATCTAGATCTTTAGATCTATTCTTGATTTCTAGATTCTAGACTCAAATTCAACTTTAAATACTGGACAAGTAGGCTACTTATTTCAGAGACAGAATAGAATAGACCCAGAGGTTTAGGTTCTGGAAGTGGCTATTCTCACCCGGGTGAGAATAGAAATGGCGGAAAACACAGCAGAGGGCAAAATGGCACTTTCTGTATTCTGAACAATTTTTCTCAGAAATGGGATAACTGTGTGTGTGTATCTTTAGTTGATATCGTAGAGTGAAGTTTCGAGAAGCTGGGACAGCAACATTTTTGTGAGTTTTTACTTTTTGTGAAAGTTGTGGTTTTGTGAAGTTCCTGGACCCATGGAATGACGACAGACAATGTTTACTTGACAACAGAACACATGGACAGAAGGGTAAGTCTAATTTATTTTTTTTCATAATTTTTAATGGTAATTTTGCTAAGAATTTGTTCTAGAATGATAATAGTATGATTTGGCATTAAAAACATGAAATTAATCACGATTTTCTAAAAAATATTTTTTAAAATCCTAATTGCCTGCATTGTCGGCATGTGTATGTCGTTTTTCCACGTAATTCTAAATTTGTTAGTTTTAGCATATTTTTTGTTTTAGTTGCCATTAAACATGTTTTGACAATGTTTTAATCATAACTGCGATAATTTGTATTTTAAAAAGGAAGAAAAATAGATTTTAAAAAGATTTACGGCTATTCAATCACGATCATTCGGGTTTCCGTCGCTCGTATTCCACCGGGTGAACAAAACTGGAATTTGCGATCACGGCACAACGATCTAGCAGTAATTGTCCAAAACGAAGTTTTTAACAGTTCTAGGCCATAGTTTCATCGTTTCTATTCATTCTGTAACATTTATTGTTAAATTAAGTTTGAAAACCCGCATATTTCACATCTGTCGTGCATCGGTCGGACTTTGCGCAGGTCGAACAAACAAGACCCGTGAACAACAAAATGAGGCTAAATCTAAGTCTTAAATGCGACTTTCAACCCAAACATCACGAAATGTTAGTCATTATCAAGGCTAGTTTCATTTTCAGCGTAAATAAATCTTTAAATTACTCCATGATGTGAGATAATCGCCTAAATCTAATTTTTTCGTAAGCACGACACGAAATCGCCGCGAAGGCAAGAAAATGGCGGCCGCGTAATCCGAAAGGGGGAGGAAGGGGGGGAAGGCATTTCAAAGATCGTTGTGTCGCGATGTTCAGAATAGAATTAGATAGGCCTCGATCTACTTGGATTAGCTTCCAATGTATTTTAGTTAGTTTTTTAAATATTTTAAATTTAATTTAATGAACAAGAAGAGAAGACAGTCAAAATCAATTGTGGAAACATGCAATATAGACATAGAATGGAAATAAGAGGAGGGGGGGGGGGGGGACATGTAACGAAAAAATAATAATATTGTGAAGAGAAACTTCAAAATAAAGATAGCGAACGATGCATTCCAAAAATTTGAGAATTAAGGGGGGAGGGGGCACTCAAATACAGACAGGATTCATAAGACAATCAATGATTATTTATTTGACAATGAAGAGATTCCAGAAGATATGATGATTTAAAGTCAGTCTTTATAGACACGAGTGTCTCTAGACCTCTTTGATTTAACTTCACAATCCTTGGAACTGTTTGTGGTCAAGCCTTCTGAATGGCTATTCCATGAATATAAGTTGTCAGTTACTCAAGATAGTGAACAAAGAGTAGTCTAGACACAAGAAAGATGTTTCTTTAAGAGACTGCTGTTTCATGTTATGAGGAAAAGAAATCAAATAAGGTTGTGCAGAATGCGAGAAAGAAGGCCTACAAGGGACTCACTAATAAATACAATAAGAAAGAGACAAATGTAGGTGTGATACATTCAATTGACATTTTAAAAAAGCCTAGAACATCTACTACTTACTGAAAAAGTAGAGGCCAAAAGAGGCAAGGGTGGACATATTCTGCCATGGTTAGTAAACGGCTAAAATTGTTAGTTCCGATTGGAATTTAACAAATCAGATCATAATATTTATTACAAATAATTGCTGTTTTTTCCAACTAAGTTCTTTATTTCTCAAGGTGTGTTATTGGATTTTTTCCTGTAGGTGAAGGTTAAAATGCTAAAGGAGGATGACTTCAGTGTGAGATTTATGGAAAAGAGCAGCCCCAGTGACGTCTTTTCCAAGAGCAACGTTGTTGGTCTAATCACAAATAAGGGATCACCAGACTTCTTCACCTGGACATATACAAAAGGACTAACAAGAGGCATTAGATTTCAAGGCCATTATTTTCATTTTTCCATTTTTTTTCTCATGTCCACTCATTAATTGGTGTAATAAATATATTTGTGTAAACCGTGCATTGGTCGGCTTCATTTAATTGTCTCCCCTTTTCATAAATCCTTGAATTTTATGCTTGTTTTTGCTTATATATGCTCTGAGTATATCAGGATGGGTCCTGCTTTCAGTTTGGAAGACATTATTGCAGAGATAAGCAATTGAAATCACTTTTAAGTGAGTAAATTGAACGTATGTTAATTAAACGTTTACACCGGGGTACCTGTGATGGCCACCTCTATTCTCACCCGGAGTGAGAATAGTGCAGGCGAGTCTTGTGACTATTCTCACCCGGTGCGCGTTCACCAAATTTTGCGTTTACCCTAAACCACAGAATTCTACACTGTGATAACAGAAAAATTGTAGAATTCTGTGCCGTGAACAAACGTTCCATTACAACTGTAGCCTACTAAAAGCGTACAATTTTGTCTGTGGGCAGTGGAGAGAGAGAGAGAAAGAGAGAGAGGAGTAGCGCGAGAATTTTCGGGCAAAACAAAATGGCGACCCGCGTAGTTCGGCTCGATTCGAAAAGTTAAATAGCCGTAGCATCTTTGTAGACAACCAAATTAATTTACTTTTGTGTTTTAACATCATTTTTTAACTTCATTTTGGTCAATTTGATCGTCCACACCGATAGACAGTATTCAGAAAGAGACAGAGAGAGAGAGAAGAGGGGAGGAGTTGATCTTGCGAGAACTTCCGGGCGGGTGAGAATAGCCACTTTCACCTGTGATTATGCGCCCTTTATTACATAACGAGACAGCTGTTGCCCATGACACAAACATTTCTGAAATCTACAGGGTTTGAGCTAAATTTTGATACCATATTCAATACTGTGCATTCATTTAATTGCAAAAATAGGCCATTTGAAGTAGATGCCAGCATTGCCTGTGTGTTTTCCGCCAAATACAATCGACCTCTCACCCCGGGTGAGACTTGCCACCGTAGGCTATTCTCACCCGGTGTGAAACAAGACCTGTTTTTCCTAATTTCGGAATACTTTCTATCGATGTGGATGATCAAATGGATAAAGGCAAAGAAAAGATTACGTTATAGCACAAAAGTAAGCTATTTTTATCGACTACAAAGATGCTATGGCTATTTCACTTTTCAAATCGAGCCGAACTACGGGAGTCACCATTTTGTTTTGCCTGGAAGTTCTCGCAAGATCTACTCCTCCCCTCTTCTCTCTCTCTATCTCTTTCTGAATACTGTCTATCGGTGTGGACGATCAAATTGACCAAAACAAAGTTTAAAAATGATGTTAAAATACAAAAGTAAATTAATTTGGTCGTCTACAAAGATGCTACGGCTATTTAACTTTTCTAATCGAGCAGAACTACACGGGTCGCCATTTTGTTTTGCCCGGAAGTTCTCGCGCTACTCCTCTCTCTCTTTCTCAGACAAAATTTACGCTTTTAGTAGGCTAACAGTAGTAATGAAACGTTTGTTCACGGCACAGAATCCTGCAATTTTTCTGTTATCACAGTGTAGAATTCTGTGGTTTAGGGTGAACGCAAAATTGGTTGGCCTAAATCTAGGCTATAATGGTGAACGCGCACCGGGTGAGAATAGCCAAAAGACTCACCCGGGGTGAGAATAGAGGTGGCCTTAGGCTTCGGTTCTAGATCTAGGCTAGGTAAGATAGAAGAATACCGGACCAGCGGACTGACTTTGCCTATATGTCTCAACCTTAGGAATTCATAATTTTCTCTCAATGGAGAATCTCGGACCGGTAGATCTATTCATTAAAATTTTGTCAGGGGGGGGACCCCCCTGAACCCCCCTCCTCCACCCCAACCACCCACCCCACTTTCTCACGCAATAATGTACGAGTGATCCAGTATTCTTCAATCTTCCCTAGATCTAGATCTAGAATCTAGAAGTCTAGATATCTCACCCAGAGTGAGAATAGTGCAGGCGAGTCTTGTGGCTATTCTCACCCTGTGCGCGTTCACCAAACTTTGTGTTCACCCTAAACCACAGAATTCTACACTGAAAAAATTGTAGAATTCTGTGCCGTGAACAAACGTTCCATTACAACTGTAGGTATTTTTTTACTTTCCCTCCCGTCTACTATTTTCTACTAAATATTGATGCGCAGAACACTAATATCAACTTCATTTCCGTCGCAAATTAATAGTTTTTGAAATATTTGATTGTTTTTAACCGAGATAGACGTGCTTTGGACCAATCGGGGGGGTACCAGGGGGGCCTGCCCCACTGGGGTAAAAGAAAATCTGGGGGGTTACAGGGGGGCATGCCCCCCTGTTTTTACCCATAATTTGATATTTTACAGTTAGATTTGAAATGGTCTTGAAAATAATTGATTTGCGACAGTTTTAGTGGCTTTATGTGTGATCTGCAGCAAACAGTACTGCAGTTTGACCCTGAAACAGTGCATCTGTGTGCGGGAGTGAAAGTAAAAATTTACCCAACTGTAGCCTACTCTAAAAGCGTACAATTTTGTCTGTGGGCAGTGGCGAGAGAAAGAGAGAGGAGTAGCGCGAGAATTTCCGGGCAAAACAAAATGGCGATCCGCGTAGTTCGGCTCGATTCGAAAAGTTAAATAGCCGTAGCATCTTTTTAGACAACCAAATTAATTTACTTTTGTGTTTTAACATCATTTTTTAACTTTGTTTTGGTCAATTTGATCGTCCATACCGATAGACAGTATTCAGAAATAGACAGAGAGAGACAGAAGAGGGGAGGAGTTGATCTTGCGAGAACTTCAGGCGGGTGAGAATAGCCACTTTCTTTTTTTTTAAGTTCGACAACACTGGCTTACCCTAGCCTAGCGGTAAACTAGATATCTAAAGATTAATTGAAGAAGAGAAAAGGCAGCTCGGGGCCATCAGCGCCCGATAGTCCCCAGGAATGGAATGGACTGAATGGTATCGAACTACTCAACTGCCTTTGTTTTCTTTATTATTGTATCAGTTACAATGCAAAGAATTGGTAAAACTCTTTTTTTCATTTGACTGAACGGTAAGCAGCTCACAATTCAGCAACCTCTGTCAAAGTAAAACGGCACCAAGTTCGTTAGCGTCACTTGAAGAACCATGTTCTACAGGCCCCACAACTGACGCTTCCGCAAAATGGACCGATCCCTTTCCTCCATTGAGTATCCCCCCTCGGAATGAGATGTGCAGACTGCCACAAAGAAAGCAAATTATTCACTTTGCAACTACAAATATAAGTGATTTAGGCATGCACTTTACTTACCGAAAGGGAGGTCCTCATGGACCAAAGCTGCATTAGATCGAAACAATCAACGGCGTTTGTGTATTATTTCCAGGCTGCCCTTTCAGAGACCCTCTCCGACATTCAAATCCAAGATGGCGTAATTGTTTAGTTCGCGCATGTGCAGAGAGATTTGCACCTGTTTGGTGGTGATCGGGTCGAACTACTGTAAAGACCTACAAATTTTGGGCTAAGCGACAAGATTTCTAAAACCAATCACAATAAAATGAATACTTCTAAGAAATGAAATTATATTTTTTCAGTTTCATAACAAGATAATGAGTACCATTACGTTATAAGAAAACTAGTAAGGAGAAGAGTATCAAAAGTTCGAGCAATTAACTCAACTTTAAATGTCATAGCGTAGGGTGCTTCCTGTAACAGAACTGACACGAAATAGTTCCAACAAAAGAACTGTTTATTCTTCAATTGTTTCAAAAGAACACCAGAATTTAAAATCGACATTTATGATCAGATAGTTATTATGAGCATTTTCTTGCCTAATCACAGTCTTGTAAAAGATGTTTTACAAGCATTTCATTTTTATGTTTACCATAATTACTTTCCTACGCGATAGCTTCAGTCTTGAGTAGCGTAAATGGAATGTCAGCTGAGTGACACCTGAACAAAAGCAATCGAAAGCAGGCTCAGACGGAGTACGCTGAAAAAAAAGGGGGGAAAGCCGCTAGACGAAGCAGTGTAGTGTAGGCCTACTGAGTGGTCACGCCAGTGGCGGTGGCACTCCTATTTACACCTACAGCATGCACACGCTTCAATGAAACTAGGCTCTCGTGTGGCGTGAACAAACGATCGTAAATCCGAGCTTGCTTAGAAAAAAAAAAGGGAGGGGAGTAGGCCTAAAAATGTTGGGAGTCGAGAACTCCACTACTAATACTACTATAGAATGCATGTTGCCCAACACGTTCTTGCTCTGAGCATCTAGATGTAGCCTGTTTGTTTGTCTATTGTGCCCTCATCTTTAAACCCTCTCCGATTCGATACCGCTATTTGTCTGTCTTGTCTGT